ACATGGCACCTGTTCTTGTAAAAAAACTGAACTTGAATCAGATCGAGCAGGGATGGAAGAACATGTTAAATGATATTATAGGAATGTAATCTGTGCAATGTGGAACGTAAGAGATTAAAGGCCCAGTGGCCTACTTCAAGTAAATTGCAAGGCAGGGGAAAAGAGGCAGAGAAACCTATACTTTGAGAGACTAAGACGACATATCAACCAGCATAGGGTATGGCCTTTGTTTGGTTCCTGACTCTTTAACAGTTGAAAAAGTTATGAAACACTTGTGAAAATTTGAATATTCAAGTGTTTGCTATTAAGGAGTTAATATTTTTAGATGTGATCGTATTTTATAGAAAAATCCTTTTAGAAGTACCTAATAAAATGAGTAAAATTATGATTTCTGGAATTTGCTTCAAAATAATCCAAGGGAAGGTGGGGAAAATATAGTAAAAGTTATAAGAAATTTGTGAATTGAACATTAACAATTGAAAAATAAGAGTGTAAGAATTTGAGTGAAACAGCCAGTGTGGGCCAAGTGGGGAAGGCTTCATGGAAAAGGGTATTACCAAGAATGTTTAAGAAATGCAAAGGCAGGATTGAAGGGATGGCAAATGGCAAGGGAGACGGGGACCAGGAGGATATGACTTGAATTTAAGCCAGTTAGACCAGAAGGTAGATTGATTTCCCACTTATGAAATCTGTGTTTTTGTGTTTTTTTAAATATGTTTTCCTTTTTAATTGATTTCAGAGTAAGGGAGAGGGAGATAGAAACATCAATGATGAGAATCACTGATTGACTGCCTCCTGCTCGGCCACCACTGGGGATTGAGCCTGCAACCGGGGCATGTGCCCTGACCAGGAATCAAACTGCGAACCAAGATTGCCTGGGTCATAGGTCGTTGCTCAACCTCTGAGCCATCCCAGCTGGGCAGGAAATCTATGGTTCTTAACCCTTTTTTGGGCCAGATTCCTTCAGTAAATGGACCATTTTCCCAGAAAAATTAATATTGACCTTCTTGCATTTTATAATCAGTGGTTTAAGGACCTCCTGAAGTCATTCATGTAGACTGCCTTTCCCCCATCACTGTTGCCTTTTATCTCCACATTCTGGGGCAAGTGCTACTAGAAACCTGTTTAAGAGCCTGTGATTTAGGTAGAACATTTTATTTCCTTGTTTCCTGATTTCACTCAGAGTTGAAGCTTGTAATTATTAAAGGCTGGTGTTATAATTAAAATTAAGCCAGCCTCACAGATTACTTATTAAAGGATTCTTTGTAATGAAGAAGTGTGGAGCAAAGCATAGAACTGACATCTTATTCTTAGTAATTGATGCATTGATAGACACATGCTTAGCCCTGGCTGGGGTGGATCAGTTGGTTGGAGCGTCATCCCATGCACCAAAAGGTTGCAGGTCTGATTCCTGGTCAGGACACATACCTAGGTTGCTGGTTTGATCCCCAGTCAGGGCCAGTATCAGAGGCAACTAATTGATGTTTCCTCTCTCACATCAATATTTCTTTCTCCCTCTCTTAAAAAAAAAAAAAAAAGACACACCACCTATGTAGTATTCCTAATGTACACATGACTCTGAACACAGGGAAATTATCATGTGAATCCAAAAGGGCCATTCTGCAAAACAAATGGCCTGTACCCTTAAAAAATGTAAATGTCATGAAAAGAAAAAACACACAGGAACTATTCTTAGTAAAAGGAGGTATAACTAAATGCCATGTATGATCTTTGATTTGAACCTAGATGAAAAACAGTATTAGAGGATAGTATTGAGACAATTAGGGAAATTTTAATATGGGCTACATATTAGATAATCGTACATCAGTGTCAGATTTCCTGATTTGAATAGTTGTGGGGAGAAGTTTCTGTTCTTACAAGATGTGTGCTAAAATATTTAGGATGAATTGTCATGATGTTCAGAAAACAAACAGAAAAGGCACGCGCAAGAGCATGTGAGCCCTGGCTGGGTAGCTCAGGTGGTTAGAGCATTGTCCCAATATGCCAAGATTGCAGGTCTGATCCCTGGTTAGGGCACATCAAGAATCAATGAATGCATAAATAAGTAGAATAAATCGATATTTCTTTCTAAAAACTCAATAAAAAATTAAATTCATAAATAAAAGTTTTTTAAAAAGTTGAGCCCTAGCCAGTTTGGCTCAGTGGCTAGAACTTAGGTCTCTAGACTGAAGGGTCCCAAGTTCAATTCCTTGGTTGCAGGCTCCATCCCCAGCCCCAGTCAATGCACCTGCGGGAGGCAACCAATTGATGTCTCTCTCTCACACTGACGTTCCTTTCTTTCTCCTACTCTCTCTGAAAAGCAATGGAAAAAAATCCTCAGGTGAGGATTAAAAAAAAAAAAAGTTAATTCTGCCTGGGTAAACAGCAAAGTTAAGTTTATTCAAGATCACATAGAATGAGTCAGCAACAGAACTGGACTCTAGGAAGAATAAAAGAAGGTTGCAAATTCATTTGGTCACTCTTATCCACCCTGCCCACCTCCCCTTGCTGGCCCAGGAAAACTTCAGGCCACATTACTATCAATTTCTCCTTGGCTACTTTTCTAATGAAGAATTTTTGTCTTTTACCAATTAAGTTTTAGTTTCCGGGTTTAGTATAAGTTGCCTCTAGGACTTTTGACAGTTGATTTAGACACAAACTTAAAAAACAAAGATACCTTAATCCACCCAGTTTTGACCAGCGGGATTCAGTAATTTGGCAAAAGATTTGAATGCTTGTGTGTCAGGCATTGTTCTAGGTGTTGGGAAATAGTGAGCAAAAAAATTTCTGGTCTCATGGAGCTTACATGGTGGCTGTCAGTGCTTCTGGGTCCTTGCAGTTTTGGACGTTGGAAGTCTTGAGATCAGGGTGCCAGCATGGTCAAGTGAGGGTCCTCTTCTAGGTCAGACTTCTCATTGTACCCTCACATGCCAGAAGGGTACAAGGGATCTCTGGAGCCATTTTGGTAAGGGCACTACTCCTATTCCACTCTCATGACCTATCACTCCCCAAAGGCCCCACCTCCTCATACCACTACCTTGGAGGTTAGGGTTTCAACAAGTGGGAAAGGGGGAAGATGGCACAAATTCAGGCCATAGCTGTGAGGGGGGAGGACAATTAGGTGGTAGTAACTGCTAAGGAGAAAAAGAGGAGTAAAGATAGGAAATGGCAGGAACTTGAGGAGATGGAGCTATTTCATAAAATTTCAAAACCTTAGGAAAAATGTGAGGTGTAGGCCAAGTGAAAAGCTGGAGAAGACTTTTCCAGCAAGGGAAGGCACAAATCACAAAGTAAAATAATAGTTGGAGGGTAGAGAGAAAAGGTAATGAGGGGCCTGATCACGTTGAAGCATATAGGCAGGCCTCTGACTGCTAACTGCTGTGGGGAAAAAGTAATAAGGTGTGTAATTTTAAGTGAGGAAGAGTACTTGTAATAATCCAAGTAGTAACTAATAATAAGTAGTAGGAGTGGAGATCGTGATTCTGGATGCACTTTGAAAGTTGCTAAGATTTGTTCACTCCAGGTTTTTTGGTTTGGGCAACCATAACCAGCACATTTACTGGAAAGACCACTTAGGAAGGGAAATCAGAAGTTCCTTCTGGGGCCTAGTAAGCACTTGTCACAAAAGGGAGACTGTATCTGAAGAAAAAAAATCTTTTTCCCTTTCAAGGCTTTTGCACTAGGTACTAATTTTATTCGTCTGTAACTGGAATACTGCTATATGTTCACTACACACGGGGAAGCTTGAGACAGTTGTACCTATCCAAGCAGATTTTCTCCCTCCTTCCTAATAGAACCAATATTGTTCAGGGGATGTTAGGCTGCTTTCTCTGATCCCAAGGATGGATCTTGAATCATATAAGCCAGTAGTTCTTGATTGGGATGCTTTGGAAATCCTTAGTTATCACAATGATTAGGAGATTCTAGAGGTGTTTAGTGGGCAAGGGCCAACCACAGATGCTAAATATCTAACAATACACCACAAAACAATACTTCATAAAGAATTATTGCACATCCCACAAGGTTCCCACCAAGTGTTCATGTGGCCAAGAACTTGAGCCTAGAATTTATTTTTCATATGAATCTCAAGTACTATTTACATGGGTGTTAATGAACAATTTTCCAGGAATGTAATTATGTAAAGTCTTTCATATTAGAGAATTGTACTGATTTTTCAAAAATTGATTTGGGAGGAAGAGACAGACATCAATTTGTTCCACTTATTTATGCATTCATTGGTTGCTGCTTGTATGTGTCCTGACCAGGAATCGAACCCACAACCTTGGCCTATTGAAACGACACTCTAACCAACTGAGCTACCCAGCCAGGGCGACACTATATTGATTTTTAAAGTATATATGAATTTCATTTGTAGACATCACCACAAAATAAAAGGAGGCGTTACCCCTGATGAGATCTAAGCCCCGAGTTCTTAAGATTCCTTCAAGCATGGCATACGACAATAGTCCATGAATCATGAAGGGAAGTCTGTTGGAAGACTTTTGGGGAAGAATTCTCAACACTTAAATGAGATATAAGAAAGAGGCAGTCATCTTTCTGCTTCTGAAGTTGTTAGCATGTGGTTAATTAGAACTACATAGGCTTTAGGACAAGCCAACTCACTGAGGGTGAAAGCAAAAATATAGAAAGAATCAGTACCTAATATTACTGAGCCACTAAACTCATACCTTAGGATTTACTACCAAACTTATATAAAGCTACTTAGAACTGAAAGCAACCTGAAAACAGTAGCTCCTATTTTCATGTTAGAGATCTAGACTTTTAACATTCCAAACAAAAGGTGAGGCTAGAAGAAAACAAGAAAACACCTTAGAACCAGACTTGTCCCTAGTGATAATGCTTATTATTTCATTACACCAGCCATTCTAAATCTTGTGTTTCACCTCAGTGACCCTAGGTCACGGAATTGGAAAGTATGATGCATGTTATATTCTCAAAACTCAATCTCAGAGCCTCACCCCTCACAAACGAGATCAAGATGCTTTTCATATTTATTTTTTTTAAAAAAAAATCCATAATGGATCAAAAATAATCAAGGATACAGGTGCCAAAGGCCAGAAAGTAACTATAGAAGTATGCTAGAAGAAAATTAGGAAGCCTTATTACCTTGTTTTAAAAGCTGTACCTAACATAAATACTTAGTTCTCCATTGATCTAGCTTCCCCACTCTACCTCTGAACGTGGCACGGCAGGCTTGTCTTGCAAGGTCTCAGTTGAAGGATCCCATATATACACAGGCTGGTATGGCAGTACTAAAGTATCTTATCCCCAGATGGTTTTATTCTAGGTCCGTAACCGACTACCTTCATTGTTTGTGTGTGCGATGGTCTCACCAGTTGAAAATACAGCTATTTCAGCAAAAAACAATGTTGTGTCTTTATAATCATTAAATCATCTTTCCTTTTATGTGCAGCTGAAAAATGACAGGCTAGGGACAGAACATTGTGAGCTTTGAACTGTTGGAATTATCACTCATTAATGATCATTAGCTAACAGTCACTAAATTTACATATTAAGGAAATTATATATAGAATACTGCAAAAACACAGTAAAAGACTGAAGTTTGACCATTTCTGCTCAGGCAGTCCCTTCACTCCCAAGCATCATATGTTGTTCTATTGGCTCCGAAGTTTACTGTTATTACTGTTTCTCCTCTTTTTGATCTTCCTTTTGTTCCCCAGTGCCAGAACTTCCAGAGCCTTCTCGCTCAGACGCCATCTGTTAAGAAAACATTTGACAGTCACTCATTTAATCTTATGGCTAACAGCTTGCTCTCTGCAGCCATATCCTGCCTACCCCCCCTCACTATTGCTGGTTTCTGTGACTCCTTCCCTTTGACCTTACCCTCCCTCACAAAGTAGGGTCAAGAAGGAAGGAAGGATATTTTCAACACTCCCAGTTCTATAAATGGCTATGTAGGGAGCCATCAGTAAGAGTAATCAAGAGCAGTTACAACAATATCAAGTGAGAAGGAAAACAGTCATTGAACAAAACACTCTTGAGTCCTTGTACCTTTTTGTATGCCATTTCGAAGAGCTTCAATGATGCCTGCTGAAGGGAAGACGCTGCCTGCCTTATGTTTTCTCCAGTTTCACTATCTTTTCGAGCCAGGAGCTCCCTCATTTTGGAAATCTCTTCTTTTAGCTTGTTGCACTTAAAAAAAAAAAAAAAAAAAAAAGAAACAAGACCTTCACTTTTGGGGGGTTTCTTATCCTATTACATGAAGCAGTAGTATTAAAAAACAGTTTTTAAAAACCAAATTCCTGCCCAGCAGGTGTTGCTCAGTGGTTGAGCGTCAACCCATGAACCTGGAGGTCATGGTTCGATTCCCAGTCAGGGCACATGCCCAGCTTGTGGGCCTGATCCCCAGTATGGGGCAGCCGATCAACGATTTGCTCATTGTTGATGTTTCTCTCCAAAATTAAAAAAAGGGGAAAAAAAGGGGAAAAAAAGGAACTGCAGATAATACCAGTAACCCACAAAACAAACAAAAACCCCCCAAACTAACTTCCTATCAAGACCCACACAAACTTTGTTGACACTGGTGACAATGCCTCCCAACTTGAATTATTCTGTTACAAAAGAGGGCTCACCTCGTCAGCAGGCAACTGGTCCTTGAATTCTTCCATCTTGCTTTCTGTATCATGAATGATGCCTTCTGCCATGTTAACTGCTTCAACTCGTTCCTAAGAAACATTAGAAATTGAAGACTTCCCAATCAATTGGTTGGCTGAAGTTCCTCAGTGAGAAAGACAACATATTGACTGTTACATATAGTTACATAGTAAAAACAGTAAGGGGAAGAAATCACTGTGGTTGGTGTGAGGTAGCCTGAGGTGTCTGTGAGAGATTTTAGCTAGACTTTGTAACAAGAATTGATATGGGAAGACTGGGAATAAATAATAATAGCATTCCACATAAGTTATCTGCTAAGGGGGAGAAGGGACAGGTTGAGAGTAACAGAAGATATAAGATCGATGACAAACGTCTAAACTCCCATTTTCATCTCCCAGCTGAAAAGGCAGAAAGTACTAATCACCTTCTTTCGCCTGTCTTCCTCAGCATACTTCTCTGCGTTTTTAACCATATTTTCAATATCATCTTTGCTTAACCCACCAGAAGACTGGATCACAACTATAGTGAAAAGAAAGCATTTCGTTACTTCCCCGGTAAAATTGTATGTCTCATCCTCTATTGTATTAAGAAAAATAATACTCCTACACAGAATAGCCAATCTTGACATGAATTATGAAGAGGAGTACCCTATTTTCCTGTAATAGGCAGAGGGAAACCAAGGTCTGATATATGCTGCCTATCTGCCAAAACTTTCAACTCAGCCCTGGCTGGTTTGGCTCAGTGGTTAGTGTGTCAGCCCACAGACTGAAGGGTCTCAGGTTCGATTCCGGTCAAGGGCATGTACCTCAGTTGCAGGCTCCCTGGCTATAGTTGGGGTGCCTGCAGGAGGCAACCATTTGATGTGTCTCTCTCACATCGCTTCTCCCTCCCTCTCCCTCTAAAAATACGATAAAAAAAAATAAAAGGAAAAAAATCCTTGGGTGAAGTTTAACAAAAAAAACCAACCCACTCCAAAATACAAAAACAAAACCCCAAAACTTACAGCTCAGCATTCCAGAGGCTCAGTGTTTGCATATTTTGGGGAATAAACACATCTATCTGTTAATTTGAATCTGATAACTGAAGAGAGAAGGGGCAAAGAGGACTGACTCCTCCTCCTCAGGCTGGAAGAAAAGAGCTGCACAACTTAGAGGGTCTAGTTCCCAAAAGAAAGCAACTCCAAGGTCCCTTACCTCATTTTCACAGTCTGGTAAATAAGAATACTTACTCTGCTGCTCTCGTCCTGTACCCTTATCTTTGGCAGAAACATGTACAATCCCATTGGCATCAATGTCAAATGTAACTTCAATCTGAGGGACTCCACGAGGGGCTGGGGGAATTCCAATCTAAAATAAACACACAGATTAGGCTCCTCACACAGAGAGGTCCAGTGCTTTAGTTTCAAACCTATATAGTCTTCTGGGGAATAAGTCACTTGGTTCCAGGGAGGAACAAGCATAGCTTCACTTAATTAAATGTACAAAAACAAGTTTATAAGTAAAAGTAGTACTTCCATTGCTACCTGAAATAAACAGGGCTCATACCAGTGAAGGTTGGCTATAGCAAGTAATGCCTATATGTACCTGGGGACACAATAAATAGAGCAACCCTCATTATTCATCTCAACAAGAACCAATAAGCAATGCTAAGTAGAAGCCAATATCAAATGTCTCTTAAATTAGTAACCAGAAATTTCTCCTAATTAGCATTATCTAGGAACATTTCCCTGTCACCTATTTATAATATTCTTAAAGTTCCTAAGGCACAAGCAAGGCTTTCAGGTAAAAACTGAAGCCAAGGGCTATCCAGTTGCATAATTTGTATGTACACTATATTAAGATAACAGACTATGTGTGTTTCAGCAGTCTATGGTAATATTAGTAGAGGCTAGAATATAATCTAGCTTTACAATAAAAAAGAATGAGGAGCATATTTAGGATTCTCAATACCCACCAAAGTAAACTGTCCAAGAAGTTTGTTGTCTCCAGCCATCTCTCTCTCACCCTGACACACTTTAATCTCCACCTGAGTCTGACCATCAGCAGCTGTAGAAAATACCTAGGGGAAAAAAGAAACTTCCTGGGTTGGCAGTCTAATTAAACTATTCCCTTACATAAAATACAAGCCAAAGAAAGAAACACTGCAACTCTGGAAGAGTCCTAATGTACACTAGTTTTAGAACAAAGGCTTATGTCTTTGCTGGGAAGAGCACAGCAAAAGGGCATGCAATAGCTATTATTTCTGCTAAGCAAATATACTGTACAAAGATGCAGCATTGGCATAGAAGGCCTTAATAGGAACTAAAAAATGAGATGGTGAAACATGCTCATCTGGGGAAACAGGTCAGAGACAGGACATGTATTTTGTGCTCAGTCACAGAAAGTCATCACACACTTCTTCAGAATGATGTGTTGACAATACATCACCACACAAATACAGCAACAGCCAATTTTCATAAAAATATCAAAATTGGAAGTCAGGAAATAGTTCTTAATCCAAGACCCAAGTCATTCTCCACATAGCCCTGCTTGGCATCTCAGAGGACACCCATGATTCACCCATAACAGAAGCCCACTGCATTGTCTTGGCCAGGCCATTCTTTTTATTGCCTTTGAGAACAGAAGAGCATAGGGAATTTAGTCCCAAATGATGATGCTCCTTTTGGTAAGTTAAACAAAAGGCGAAGTTTTCCAGGAAAGCACAAAAAAGTGGCTGTGAATCACATCCTTCACAGAACCTAGTATCTCTGTGACAAGGTAGGAAGGGGAGGCTCTTACCTGGCTTTTCTTGGTTGGAATAGTGGTGTTCCTGTTAATAAGTTTGGTAAATACACCTCCCAGAGTCTCAATACCCAAAGAAAGGGGAGTGACATCCAGGAGCAGAACATCTGTGACATCACCAGCCAACACACCTCCCTGAATGGCAGCTCCAATGGCCACAGCCTCGTCAGGATTGACAGCTTTACTTGGGGCTCGGCCAAAGAGATCCTGCACAGTCTGCTGAACCTGAGCATCAAGAAAATAGAACCTGTTACTCACTACTCAAAGCAACTAATTGCCCAAGAAGGGGAGAGAGAACCCTAGCAAATTGCAGGGTAGGTTGCTTCCAATCCAAGGATTTCACTCAAATTATTAGTATTTCATAGCTGAATTCTTGTTCATGTAATGATCTGAATATATCATGTAGGTAACACTCATATACTTTACTCACATGATATGTCATTCATAGCCCTTTTAAATTTGGGAAGAATTTGTGTAAGTCTGTTATCTGGTTTTCCATACAACACATTAAATTAGAAATAGAGGGTGCAGGCTGGTGTGGCTCAGTTGGGTGTTGTCCCGTGCACCGAAAGGTTGCCGGTTAGATTCCTAGTCAGGGCATATGGCTGGGTTTTGGGCTCAGTCGTCAGTAGTGGGTGTGCAGGAGGCAGCCAATCAATGTTTCACCCTCTCTCTCTCCCTCTAAAAATCAACTGAAAAATAATTTAAAAAAATAGAGGGTGTAAGGCATGGGGACTTAGAAATTGTATAGTCCAAGTCCTCTTCTACATAGCAACCAAAAACCAACTCAAAGGAAGCGGTGCAGCGGTCATCCAATGACAACACTGGTGCTAACATGGGACATGTTCTTCCCCTTCCCCTTCCCCCCCCAACTAATGCTAGGAAAATGTGCTATTTAAATAGCATTTGTGATAATTTGTTAACATAGAGATATCACCCAAGTCCAAAGCCTCTCTTTTTCTCTCCAGATTTGTTCTGTGCATATTTTCTTGAGCCCACATACTCAAAAATTAAGACGACATCGAGGCCCAAGATAATTCTATGAAAGCCATAAAGAATTTCATCTTCAACAGTTTCTGTGCTCAGTCATTAGCTTTCCACACACCTGTCTTTTCAGAATGATGTGTTGATGAATAGAATGCATCATTGCACAAATCTCTGTTGAAGAGATACAATTAGAAACCCCAAACACATGCAAAGACATGTCCAAAATTGCCCCATAGAGGCTACTTAATATCAAGGTTTTAATATATACATATATATTTATTGGTTTTTAGAGAGAGGGAGAGAGAGAAACATTCAAAGGCGGCCTCCTGCATGCTCCCCATCAGAGACCGAGCCTGCAACCCAGGCATGTGCCCTGAGAACCAAACCAGCAACCTTCAGTGCACAGGACGACACCCAGGCAAGCCACATGGGCCAGGGCAGTATCAAGGTTTTAAGCTATCTCTGACCTTCAATGTTCATTCCTAAAAATTCTTCAAGAGTTAAGAAGTTCAGGATTCTCCCTGCCACTACCCCAAAGAAATTTTGCCCTTCCTAATCCTTTCTTAAACCATGTGCTGGCCCTCTCTGCTCTCCATGTTGAGAATTCCATGGATTCATCTATACCTTGGGCATCCTAGTCATGCCACCAACAAGAATCACTTCTCCGATGTCACTCTTGCTGACTTCTGCATCTTGCATGGCTTTCTGGCATGGGGCGATGGTCCTCCTGATTAGCTCAGCAACAATCCCCTCAAACTGAGCCCGAGTCAGCTTCATATTCAAATGCTTAGGTCCAGAAGCATCCATCGTAAGATATGGCAAGTTGATGTCGGTCTGCAAAGGAAGCAGGGAAACCAGTAGTGGTGAAGTTTCTTTAATTAAATACTGTAGGACAGGAAGACTCTGAATGCCACAGTGGTCATACCTACTTTAAAGGAACAGCCACCAAAGACAATGACTCTTTAAGATTCAACCACTTATCTTCCCAAAGGTAAACATTCCAGAATCTATTATTAAACAATGAAGAACAGAGGAGAGAAGCAGAAAAAAGCCCTGTTCAGGAGACAAAGAAATGTTCTACCACTAAACATACAGGGTGGGGCAAAAGTAGACTTACAGCTTGAGTACAGGAAACAGAGTTTATTCCTGTATTTATTAATTCTTGTATTATTTTCCATATGAACTGTAAACCTACTTTTGCTCCACCCTGTATATTAAGAACCACACTAATGGTTTTTTCCACTGAGTTTTAAAAAATTCCATGTACATAAAAAACAAAAACAAAAAAACACACATGAAAGATATGCTCTGAACCAAATAACCTGCCACCAAGCCAGGGCTTCATAAGTTTCAGGAAGATGGCTAGAAAGCTACAAGCAACAGAGAACTACAAGGACTGACTTCACTGCCATCATATCCACAGAGAGCAGCTAGCATGGCCACAGTCGCACCATATAATATCCAATATTTCATAAACCCCAAATCCTAATAAGGCATGGATTAACACCTCTCATCGATGTTTCTCTCTCTCTAGCCCTCTCCCTTCTTCTCTACAAAAAATAAAAATTAAAAAAAATTATATGTATACACACAGACACATATATATAAAAAGAATATTCAGACCAAAAAGACCTCATTGCTAAACATTTGCTGAAACAGGTGTCCTAGGGGTGGACTCTCAGGAATAGAATTACCTTATACATCTCCAACTTCACATCAAAGCAAGGCTAGCAGGGAATAAAGACTGAGGGGAACAAATTCTTAACCACCTTTTCTCAAGTAAAGTACCTGGGACTATTAGATGCTTAATACAGTTAACACACCTTCTGCGGAAATAGTGTTACTAGGTATTACCTTAAAGAACATCACTGACAATTTTCTTTCTTTGCAAAATGCCAATAACCTAAATCAGAAAATAGAATTTAATCATCCAAACCAATATGACCCAATAGAACTTTCTGCGACAACAGCAATGTTCTACAATCTGTGCTGTCCAATTCAGCAGCCACTTGACACTTAATGGCTGAGCTCCTGAAATACAGCTAGCACAACTGAGAAATAGAATTTTTAAAAAAATGTTTAATACCCACTTGTGGCTATTGTATTAGTGTACTTCTATATGCTATAAGTTAATGACAACCTGAAAAACTCCAGGACTCTCAACTCTATAAAACCAGTTCCTCAGTTTTGTCCTTCATCTTTCTCAAATCCAAATACCTCTCACTATCACACTTGAGTCCAAGTCCTCTCTCTCACCACCTGGTGTGCTATATATAATGGCCTCCTAGTGACTTCCCACATCCACTCACACTGCCTCGGCCACAGAACCGCTCCCCACTGAAAACAGAACTCCACCTCAGCCAAAGCACTTTTCATAAACCCTAACCTGACCATGTTACTGTCATCACATGAAGTTTTCAGTGGTTTATACTCACTCAACTTTGTAGAAGAGACACCAATTCACAAATCTATAAAGCCTATAGCCTCCTGTCCCTTGCTCCCCTGCCCGTATGCACGGACCCCTTCTCAGGTCTTCAACCCAGTGCCTCATACTTGACTCATTATCACTTCCTGATTAACCCATCTTTAAGAAGCTCTCCTTGTCATGTCAAACACCTGTCAACTGTCAGGTTCCTCCACTATAATTATAAATCTAACTTTTTCCTTTTTACCACATTAATAGCAGCTTACATTTAGAGTATTTATTGTTTACTATGTGTAGTCCTAAGCATGCTACATATATGTATACGTTCAGTAATCCTTGCAACTCTAAGGGGGAAAGTAGCCCTATTATTTTCATTTTATAGATAAGACAGAAATGTTGCCTGGCCAGCGTGGCTCAGTGGTTGAGCACTGACCTATGATCCAGGAGATCCCAGTCAGGGCACATGCTGGGGTTGTGGGCTGGACCCCCAGCAGGGGGCGTGCAGGAGGCAGCCAATCAATCATTGATGTCTCTCTCTCACTCCCTCTCCCTTCCTCTCTCTGAAACCAATAGACATATTAAAAAAAACAAACACACAGAAACGTTAAGTAATTCATCCAAGGTCACACTGCTAACAAGTGATGAAAACAGGACTGGAACCCCGGCAATCTACTTGTAGAGCCACTTTTAACCTCTACATTACATTACTTCTGGTTTGACATTTAATGTAATGTTTTAAATAATGTCTACCTCCCGAACCACACTAAACTACACAAGGGTAATGTTTTATCCTACAGATTTACAATCACACATGCACAAACATTAATGTACAAGGACGCTCAATATACATTGCTATAATGGCAAAATGCCGGAAAACAACCCAAATGCCTATCAATAGGGTACAGCAGGTCTTTGAATAATGACATTTTGTTATAACATTGATGAGATGTCATAGGAATTTAACCCGTTTTTTAGCCTACAGTAAACCGGTTTCCTTATACAGCACTTTGCTTAAAGTCGCAGGAACTATTGATGACGTTAAGTGAGGACTTGCCGTACAGTCACACTAAAACCAACCATCTTCTCCCTCCAAAGTGTCAGATCCCTGGGAAGAATTATAAGCTATTCTCTGGCAGCACTGCAGTATTTCAACCCTAACCCTACCCACCACATTGCAAAGTTCTGCCACTCTGTATGATAGCAGGAAACAAAGCAACACATCAATACCATGGGTGACTTTATACAACTGTCAGTCCTTAAAGAAATTCCAGGTTTGATTGAAGTTTAATATCTCTTCTCTTCCCAGTGAGTAATCAAACTAACAACTAAAGTAGTCACAGGCTCTGCTTCTCTGATGCCACCTGAAAACCTGGAATTAAATCTCCTGCCTTCCATCTTGTTTCATCTCTGACCAGATCTAACATGCTTTCTACAATTCTATTCTTAGTGATTAAAGCAAAGTGAAGCTTCACCTCTCAGAAATGAAGCAGCATAGGCCGACACCTTAAACAGATGCTGAGTGAATCTGATGCCCAGAGGGTAAACCTTGCTCAGGTGTATAAAACCCCAGCCTTCAGCCAGGTTTCATAGCTCACCTTCTAGATTAGTGATCCAAATAATTACATGAGAAACAATTAGAGACTCATAAAAAGAGCTATCTTGAATCAAGTGAAGATAGTAGCAGTGCTGAGAGTAACATAGTATTTATAGGCTAGTAATTCTAATTTTGCACACTGTTAGTCTAGATTTTAGCTCCAGTATACATAACCTCTGATTTGGATGGTTAGCACATTTAGCTCACCCACTGAAACACACCTACTCCTTTGCTGGTGGAAAGGTTTATTACCACCAACCAGAAAACTGTAAGGCAATTAGAATATGCTATTCAAGTAAGCTCAGGCTAAAAAGACCCATCAAGACTGCTGTGATTCCTCCATGTCTCACCTGCACAGATGAGGAGAGTTCACACTTAGCCTTCTCAGCAGCTTCCCGAACTCTTTGAAGTGCCATGTTGTCTTTCGTCAAATCAACTCCCGTCTACAAAGTGAAGACACACAGTACTAGCATTAAGGTAATGATAAATACTCTTAAATTGCAGTGAGAAGCTGTTAACAACACAAAATAGAGCCACACCTTTATGAACAAGCACAAATTACTTATTACCCTTAAAAATCTGTAGGGAAAACTTATTCTAAAAAAGCTGTGTGTCTGGAGTCAGAGGGCTGAACTGATCTCAGTTGTTTCAGCTGTAGGATTCTAGCTCAAAAGAGTTCCCAGAATCCCTTTTTCAACGTTATACACAGAGTGCCATATACTTTCAATCTGTTGTGTATTCTTAATCTGAAGGTACAATAACCAGAATAGTTCAGTCCAGCCATGAAACTGAAATACAAATATTTTAGTGCTCTACTCAGGGCAAAAAAATTCAGTGCTCTATTCAGGGCAGCAATCTGAACAAAGAAATTCTCACTATCCCGATGTCTATATATTAACCACACCAATAACTAACCTCTCTTTTAAACTCCTTCACAATGTGTTGTAGCAAGGCCTGGTCAAAGTCTTCACCACCTAAGAATGTGTCTCCATTGGTGGACTTCACCTCAAACACTCCTTTCTGAATTTCCAGGACAGAAATATCAAAAGTTCCACCACCTAAATCATACACAGCAATGCTAGAAAAAAAAAAGGTGAACCTTGAAAACATATCTGACCAGCACATGATGGAGCCTATGCCACTATACATTTCAACAACTAAATAAGTATAAACTTGACCATTTCCCCCAAAGTATAATTATTATGAAATCTGATAACTGTGTGATATTTGTATTAACATATGGCCCTAAAGCTACATGTAAAGTATACATACAGTTGAAAAGAAATAAATTCATTTAAAAGCAAAATTGGCAGTATCCAACCATTCTTTTGAATAAATACCTGCCAACATACAGACATACCAAAGGAGGTAAAAAAACAAAAAAAAAGGACCCTATTAGGGGAAAAAATAAACAAAGAAATGGTCTTGAATGAAAAGGACTATACAGCCTTGAAGAACATCAAGGCAGTGTATTTTTAGTCTAAATACAAGGCTTAATCACTAAGAAATCACTTACACTCTGTCTTCTGATTTGTCTAGACCATAGGCCAGAGCAGCAGCTGTGGGTTCATTAATCACCCGAAGCACATTTAGTCCGGCTATCTGGCCAGCATCCTTAGTGGCCTAAAAAAGAAAAAAGTATTTTTCCACCGTTGTGTCCCAAATACCACTAATTTCCTAAATAAAAATGCTAATTGACTCACCTGTCTTTGAGAGTCATTGAAATAAGCTGGGACTGTGATCACAGCATTTTTTGCTGTATGCCCCAGGTAATTTTCTGGAAAAGAATCAAGAAATGAATCCAATGAGATTCTGTCAGATGAAACAGGTAACACAATTACTAATGTAGCCTAATAACCTGTGTCATCCTCTTGGAGCTACAAACAGGATTCATCAGTTTTCAGCACGTTAGGACCTAACAAGTACACAACCTTGTAGGAAAACACGACGATTAAAGAAACTGATTAAAAACAAAGATCTCACCTCTAACACTTCAGTGAAAATTCACCAACTAGAATGACTTAGAACAGGGAAGTTTTAAGTTTCACCTAACAGAGACAAAAGCTTAATATATATATAGTCTTTTGGCTTTCAATACATTACTCCCCTACTGGAAAAAAATAAACAAGAAAGGCACCATTAAGAAAACTTGGAATATGTATTCAACCTATAGGGAAAGTATAAAGAGTAACAAAGTTTTGCCATTCCTAGGTTTTTCTGTATAAAAGTCATCAGACTCATCCAAGGGACACTGGGGTATAAAAGCTAGTGATCTCAGACAAATCACCGAGTTCTTAGAACTTTCCCAGATGTGAACTTAAACTTCTCACCTGCGGTCTCTTTCATCTTCATCAACACAAATGCTCCAATCTGACTTGGAGAGTAGAGTTTTCCATGAGCTTCAACCCAGGCATCGCCATTGGAGGCACGGACAATTTTAAAGGGAACATTTTTACTGCAAGACACAAAAATTGTATTTGAAAAGCCACGCCAATGCAATCCACCATGATACGGTTATCATACATCATGAATGTCCACCCTCCACCCCAAGAAATCTATGGCCAATAAGAACTTCAGAAATCCATTTAATGAAATCCTTTAGAAAGTAAGCATTAACATGTCAAAACATCCTGATGAAACCTGAACACTTTACTTTCCACCAAACAAAAAATTTATACAGCTGCAGCTGCTTTGGAAAACGATTACAGTTATCACTATAGGACCCAGAAATTCCATTACTAGGAGTCTAGTCAAAAAAAATGAAAACATGCCCACACAAAAACCTGTATGCAAGTGTTTATTGCAGCACTATCATAATAGCTAAAAACTGGAAACAAATGCCCATTAACTGATAAATGAATAAACAAAATATAGTATATACCCCACAATGTAATATTATTTGGCCATAAAAAGTAATGAAGTAAAGATACGTGTTACGACATGGACAGACCTTGAAAACATATCTGATTAGCACATGATGGAGCCTGTGCCAATGTCTGTCTTATGAGTTTAACACCAATTTACATGGCCCAGGAATGACTAGCCAAATCTTCTTATATCATGTCTATACACAGCAAAGACATAATATGTGGAGGCAAAAGTGTTTTGTTTTGTTTTGTTTTAAAAAATATATCTTTATTGATTTAAGAGAGGGAGAAGGAGGGAGGGAGGCAGGGAGGGGGAGAGAGAGAGAAACATCAATGATGAGAGTTGTCATTGATCGGCTGCCTCCTGCATACCAACTGACTGGGGATTGAGCCCGCAACCCGGGCATATGCCCTGATCAGGAATTGAACCATGATCTCCCAGATGGATCCTAGGTCAATGCTGAACAGTTGAGCATGCCTGGCCGGGCCAAAAGTGAAGTTTTTGAAGGAGATACCCTTTTGGCAGGGGAGGGCTTGCTCCCAGAAACAAGCAAAATTACTAAGGTAAGGTGCTCCAGGGATCCTGCTAAAAGATTCTTCTGTGTGGCCTTTGCAAACAACTATGCTTTTGCCATTACTCACATGTCTTTCTGGACTTCAGGGTCATCATATCGCCGGCCAATAAGACGCTTTGTGGCATAGAATGTGTTGTTTGGGTTGGTGACAGCCTGTCGCTTGGCCGGCATGCCAACAAGCCGCTCACCATCTGTTGTAAAGGCCACAACCGAAGGGGTGGTTCTGGCACCTTCGGCATTCTCTAACACCTAAAACACCCAAAGCAAGACAGAGATTCCAGTCACCACCAGTCTTTATATGAATCATTTAAGACAAAACAGATGCCAAATAACAAAATAAATGCTCAAGAATAGTACTAATGGGCACACTTTTCTGCCGTGGATGCTGATATAGTAAGTATCTTCTACTAAAGACAGCGAATGCTTAAAAGATCTTTAGTTCTTTACTTTGAAGCTACAGAAAAAAAACCCCAGAATGAATATAAACCAGAGATTTCACAGTCAATGGAAGAACAATGTAATCTTTCCTTCCAGGAGAATTAAATCTACTTCTCAATTTTTTAAAACAAAGGCTAAAAAGTTTCAGGCATATAAAAAAATTGCCAAGAAGCAATTCAACAATCCCAGGTGTTCTAAATCTTAAGAATCTAGTGGGAATAAAAATTATATGAAAAGAGTAAGGAAGTTTCTAAGGACATGCTTTACTTAGGATGTGGCCCATGTGTCACGTGGAGCTCTACTTGCTTCTAAACTGTTTGTTCCTGCACCTCAACCTTAGTTCAACTGACTTACAAAAGTGCAAGACTTATAACAGAAGTAATCTGTAATCTATCTGCAAACCATCCCAATGGTTCCTAATGGTAACTTAGTAGCTCAAGAGGACACACTTAGTAGTCCACAAGGAAACACTTTTAAATCCTTGGAAGTCAAATCCATTCAATTATCAGCACCATGCAATTAATAAGTATAAAGGCTCACGTCAAGAGTCTTAACAACTTGGGCACTAGCTACCAATACATGACCCAGAGCTTCAAATCATGCTCACCTTTGCTTGTTTACCTTCCATAACTGCCACACAGGAGTTGGTAGTACCCAAATCAATACCAACAACTGCTCCTTTGATTGCTTCTGATCTGTAAGACATTTAAAACAATGTTATCAATGTTAGCGTTTAATAGTGGTCTCCCAAATGGAATACATAAGAAAATGTTGGACACTGGGAATAGTGTCCCATTATGTAATTTGAAAATAAGTATTTTCAAATAAGTCATTTTTTCCTGAGTAGAATCGTTAATCACAAACTTAAGAGACTACTGCTCTGGGGTTTAGTATTTATCTCTCAAAGGAAATGAAGTTACACTTACGCATAGTCACGCCTTGAAACAATTCTAAAAGCCTCATGACTAAGGCCATTCCAGCCATCCTAAAGAAAAGAAAAATTACATAAGCCGTTAGTACGTATGAAAACTTGGGCTTGTTCTAATTATTCTTCTGAAGAACAAATTAAAGTTTGAGACTTTCATTCTATTTAACTGAGTGCCTATCATGTATAAAGTATACTGAAATGATGAAGTATTTTATGTATAAAAGGTACTATGGTACTGAAACAGCAAGCAAACAAATAAAGTATGAGTTTTCCAAATAAATCAGATAGAAGTAAGGAGATAAAAGCAGATAGATACAAAATGGTCTTGAATTACATTATAACACGGTTTCTCAACCTTGGCACTACTGATTCTGAGCCAAATATTTATTTGGGGGGGGGGGCAGGGGCTGTTCTGAGCATTATAGGATGTTTAGTAGCATCCTGGGCTTCTACTACTAGAAGCCAGTAGAGTAGCACAGCTCCCCAAGAATGTGACAATCATAATTATCTCCAGACATTGCCAAATGTCCCCTGGGGAGGCAAAACTGCCCCTGGTTGTGAATCACTGCATTTCAAAATACTACTCAGAAAGTTCTCAATTTCAGTCAGGGGCAGTGTACACCTAAGCCCTACATATACACGTGTGTACTGCAGGTATAAATCTAAGTTATTCAGAGACATTTCCCCTGACCCTGCCAAACAACCACTTTAAAGTTAGGATTAGAAATCTAGTGGAGTCCGTTTGAATAAAATTTTGTTTTTCAGGAGTGGCCTCCAACCAGGATCAAAGGGAAGACCTTTGTTACAACCTAACCTCAGGCTACTTCCAATTCCAAGCCTTCCTTTAACCCCAGTGAGACAATGCCAGTTCTCCAAATATGTGTTTTTGATCTTACATGGTAACAAGCACCATGGCCTTTTCACAACCTGCTTACGTTTTCTGAAAGAACAGAGAACAATCTTACCTCCCAAATTTTGGGGAACTAGCTACACAAACATTCCTAAGCTAAAGAATCAGAGCTTGACTTTTGTACTTATTAAGTTGCAGTCTTCATTTCACCATAGCAACGGGGTCCTTGCACACCCTGTATTTTACAGAAGAGAACAGTCGTCTCCGATTCGTAGGTAAGAAGCACACACTAGAACAGCGGTTCCCTCCTAACTAGAATTGCGTCCCTTGACCCCAAGGCCAAACCTGTCCCATCAGCCACAGAACGGACTGTCAAGACCACTAGCCACTACTTCGTGAAATAAGACTCCACGCTGGCAAGGGGTGTGACTCAGCAGGGGCCGGGACACGGAGGTAAAACCCTGAAACAGGCCTTGAACTGGCAACGCTGATTACAGAAAACCCGTTACCTTCCTCCCCAACCTGATCTCTCCCAGAGGATTCTGACCCCGAAGGGCGCGCGGCCTTCTACTCCAAGGCCCAAGATCGTGAGCCGTGAGCTCCTCGGGGAAGGCCCTGTAGTTTCTTACCTGGTGGCGGGCGACCGTGGAGCCCCGGGAAGCTGTTGCGCCCACGAGACGAGATGCCGCGGCTCGGCTGGCGCTTATCATCGCGGCTAGATGGAGAGAGCAGCAGGCAGCAAAGAGTCACTCGGACAAGTAGGAGCTAAGCTGCGCTGCGCGGCGGTGGAAACGCTTCTGGAAACCTCCAACCACGTGGGGTGGGGAGGGCGGGGGTTGGTCGCTGGGGCCTGGAGGCCCGCTCTTCCGCTGAGGCACTGCTTGGGTTGCCTGACCAGCGACTACCTGACCGCCACGGCCGGAGTCAGGGCGTTCAGCTAATACGCTCCGCAGCATGATGGTTGAAAAAGTATGTCTTTGCGTTCTGGCTGGGGCAGGTACGGGCTTAGTGAGAGGCGAGGGGGTTAGGAGAAGTGTAAAGGCAACACCTTGGACAGCCCTGGTCCTCGGAGGCTGCAAAGACTCAAGGTCACACGGGATAAATTGCGTGAAGATTACAGTCTCCTTGCGTCAGTTGCGTGAGAGGAGGGGCCTCTTGCACTTGCGCAGCTAGCATCGCGCTGAGTTCTTGGAGCGCATGTGCTCAGGGAGTGGCGGAAAACGGGGGTGGAGTCTAACTGCTGCACTCATTGGATGCCCCAGCGCATGTGAGTTTGGGCCGGACGTAGCCCGGGACGAGGCCGGGCGCATGTGCAAGCCTCGCGCTTGGTTGTTTTCCCTGCTTCCGCTTTGCGCGGAGGGCGCCATCTTGTCTTGGGTCATTGTTCAGTGTAAACCTCAGGCTCAGAACCTTCGTTGCTCGTCACCGTCCTTTATTCGTTTCTTGGCTGCTTGTTGGTATTTTTTTTTACCTTTATTTTGACTGTTAACACTATTACAGATGTCTCCAACTCCATCTAGTCCCCGCCCCTCCTTCCCTGTGGCCGTCACCTCACAGTCGTCTGTGCGTATGGGTTATGCATATGTTTTTTGGCTAATCCCTTCACTTTCTTTCATCCAGTCCCCCTGCCCGTTGGTATTGCAGTAACTTGAAATGCAGCTGAATATGCAGACCTTCTACAAATTCATTCTGTATTTTACCACAGGGGTCTCGGGTTTAGAACTACTCTAGCAGCCTTTCATTCTCCCAGTGCATTGGGTTGCTTTGGGCTAATTATCGCGCAAACTCTCTAGAGAAAAACTGCGTGACCCCCACCCCAC